ACACTCAACAAGATGTTTTTAAATATTGTTTTGGGGAAAATTCAGGTTTTTTATTTTTATTTATTTAAACTTTTTTATTTAAATTTTAGTTTGGATTTTATTAAATTAAATTTAAATTTTATTTAATTTTATTTTTGTTTTATTTATAATATTTATTTTGTTTCAGAAATCACTGAAAATACACTTATTTTCTTTAGCTTTTAATCATTTGTTGTGAGTTTATGTATTTTGGTTCTGGTACGTTGGCATGTGTTATGTGTTTTCATGTACAGCACTTTGGTACCCATTGTGGTTTGTTGCATTTTAGTTTGGTTTTATTTAATTTAATTTTAATATTATTTAATTTTATTTTTGTTTTATTCGATTATTTCAGTTGTATTATTTAAATTTCATTCAATTTAAATGTATTTTATTTAATTTTGTTTTTAGATTTAATCAATTTTATTTACATTTTTATTTTAATTTTTTATTTATTTAAATTTCATTTTAGTTTTAAGTTTTATTATTTGTTTAAATTAAAATTATTCTATTTTGTTTTTATTTTACTTTATTAGTTTTTATTCAATTTTATTTTATTTTAATTTAATTTGTTAATTAAAATTTAAGTTTACAGTTTTTCAATTTTATTTAAATTTATTTTAGTTTTTATTATAGTTTTATTCTATTTTATTTACATTTTAGTATAAATTAATTTAATTTAAATGTAATTTTTAGTTGTCTTCAGTTTCATTCAATTTTGTTTGCATTTAAATTCTTTTATTTAATTTTTTATTTAGGCTACATTTTATTTAAAATGATTATTATTTTTTTAATTATACTAATAGACAGCACAATTTTTGTAATGTTCTTTGCATGTGCTGTCTGTATTTGGCTGCAGAGTTCAGATGCACTAAACTCTCTAATAAACAAACATAACCCTAAAACCTAGTTTCAACAAAAATATGTTGTTCAAGAAAATATTGTTTACCAATCTGCCAGTGTGTATATATAAAAAATGAAACTTCACACAGCCCCATTGTCCTCCATTAGTTTTGTCCTAAGCTGAGCCTTGCGCTCCTCTTTTGTGGCTTTCCAAATAACAAGCATACACATAAAAACCCTCAAAACAAAACAGATCCTGACCTGTTTTCAGCATCTTATCAGTCGACATGGAGCAGATAAATTAGTATCACTGATAAACGGAATGTTTTTGGGGAAGTAGGTTAATGCACGTATGACATGACACTGTGATATTTACCTCCTGTGTTTTCCTATTGAAGCTTTTAACTGTAATTGCGACTCAGTGTGGGTGGAATTTGTTGTGTTGGCAGTGAGTTTTATTGAAGCATTATGGGGTGGCTGGTTAATGGTTAGTGCGCTGGATTGGTGTGATACTGTAGCTGTGAACGACCTGTAATGAGTACGTCCTTTCTGTTCACTCAGCCCGGGGTTTCATAAAATGGCCTTGTTATATCTGCTTGGGATTCAGGGTTGGGGGAAATGCATTACAAGGAACACGAGTTACATAATAATATTATTTTTCCAAGTAAAGCATTACTTAAAAAAAATCAAGTAATATTTGAGTGTTTTTTTAATGTAGTGCGAGTTACTTTAGTTTAATTAAATAAATTACTGAATTAAAATGAAAGTGGTCAAAATAAGAAGAAAAAAATCCTGCAAGTTCTGAAAGAAATCAATTCTCAGCCAGGTAAGGAAAAGTAACGCAAAGGTTACACAATGCATTACTTACTAGGGCTGCACAATATATTATTTTAGCAATGTTATTACAATAGTCACATAGCTGGATCTGTAAGGTTGAGTCTTACTAATTACAGTTGACCAGGAGAAACAAAATGCATGTCATTTGTAGAGTTTAACCATAATAGAGTAAAAGTTGATCATTTTTCATGTGTTTTTTAAGTCCTGTGACTGAGCATTTGAAAAGAGTTTAGGGGTGCTTTCACATCTAGACTTTTGTTCTGGAACCTGGCACGTTTCCCTCATTAGCGCAGTTTATTTGACATATGTGAAATCGGCAAACATGCTCGCATCCACACCAAAACAATCTATCCAAGATCGCCTGAATGAGAGGGTCTCTGCTCGATTGAAACGAACTCTGGCGATTGTAGTGAGAAAGCAATATGAACTAATGAACCAGGCTATATCACAGTGTATTATGGATATATTGGCATATATGGCTATATGAAGAGAGAAATATGAGTAGGGTGGGATGTCATTCCTACTGGTAATTGTTCGTTTCATGTCAAATACGAAAGTAAAAGCCTGCTGAACTACTAATTAGAGCTGTTTATCCGTTAGGAAAATTGACTGAACTGCAGTCTTGGTCTATCTGTGATGTAAAGCCTATATAATTCTCTCTATAATGTAAAGCCTATAATGCATAATTCTAGCCAAGGCTAAGTATAAGAAAGTCTTACCTCTGATTTATATCTGGTGACGATGTCTGTGGGTGTCACCATTCAAAATTAAAGCTCAGCTTTTCGCTCATAATGTCTTATTGCTCATCGTCATATATTAAAATAAGGATGCATGACAGCTGAGCGGGACTGAAAAATAAACCGTGGAACTCTAACCACTGTGAGAAGTTTACTCGCACATAACTTGTTTTAGCTATTCTAGTCCGTTTAGAAACTTTGCAGTGTGAAATTGAACCGCACCAAGAACAAAAATAAACCTTGTAACAATTTGTAAAAAGAGGTGTGAAAGCACCCTAAAACATTTGAGCACGAGAAACTGCAAAAAATACACACACCAAAAACTTTTCTTAGAATTTTTTTTGTCTTGTTTTTAGTCCAAATCTCAAAATTTCAAACTGAAAAAATGATTGTTTTGCTTCCCCCTTTGGCAGATTATTTTGCTTGTTTTAAGGAAACGCTTACTCAACTTCGACTTATGATCTCCGAAAGTAAAAACAAAACATTTATTTTTTACTCGATTTATGTGTTTTTGTTTTAGATATTTGGTCTAGAAATGAGACAAAAACTCTAAGTTAGAAAAGCATTTTTTGCAGTTGGATTAATTTCATTTCTCTGCCAGAAAACTGTTAGACTCCCCAGAAAAAAAAATTCAAATAGAGCTATCCAAACCACAAATAAATAAATACAAAACTGGTGGAAATATTTGTATTGCTATATACATCACAGAAAAACAAATATAAAATAGTGCTCATTTAGTAAAGGCACAGCTAAACAGATGTGTTTTAAGTCTTGATTTGAATGTGCCTAATGTCGGAGCACATCTGATCATTTCTGGAAGCTGATTCCATCAGCGAGGCATTTAGTAACTGAAGACAGATTTACCCTGCTTTGACTGAACTCTTGGAATTTCTAGTTTGCTTGATCCTAATCATCTGAGTGATCTGTTAGGTTTGTATTCAGTGAGCGTATCTGTAATGTATTGAGTTCCTAGACCAGGGGTCACCAAACTTGTACCTGGAGGGCCAGTGTCTTGCAGATTTTAGCTCCAACCCTAATCAAACACACCTGAACAAGCTAATCTTAGTCTTACTTGGTATACTTGAAACACCCAGGCAGGTGTGTTGAGGCAAGTGTGAGCCAAACCCTGCAGGGACACTCTCCAGGACCGAGATTGGTGACCCCTGTCCTAGACCATTTAGTGATTTATAAACAAGTAGTAATACTTTGAAATCTATTCTGAATGTAACTGGGAGCCAGTGTAAAGACCTGAGGACAGGTGTACTGTGCTCTGATTTTCTGGTTCTGGTCAGAATCTTGCCGCAGCGTTCTGAATGAGCTGCAACTGACTGTCTTTTTGGGAAGGCCAGTGAGTAGTCCATTACAGTAATCCACCCTAATGGTGATAAAAGCATAACCAAGCCTCTCTAAGTCAGTGGTCACCAAACTTGTTCCTGGAGGGCCGGTGTCCTGCAGATTTTAGCTCCAACCCTAATCAATCACACCTGAACAAGCTAATCAAGGTCTTACTAGGTATACTTGAAACATCCAGGCAAGTGTGTTGAAGCAAGTTAAGGCTGATTTATACTTCTGCGTCAAGCACCGGCGTATGCTACGGCGCTGACGCATAGCCCTTCGCCGTGGCCATCGACGTCGCTGACGTGGACCTCTCATAAAATGTAACTACACGTCGCAACAACGCGTAGCGCAAGCTCTGTGTATGGTCGGCTTGGTAGCGCTGACGAGTCTGGGCGGGACCGAGAGCCGCGCGAATGGCGCGAGCGATTGTTTACAAGTGTGGAGTCCCGTGAAGGAGCTCCAGATGGAAAGTTTTGTTCTGTGTTTACCTCAGTTAAAGTTGTTGCACGTCCACCGGTTCCTGCCTCAAAATGAGCGAGTTTGAGTCACTTGTACAACCAGGAAGTGTTCAGGAAAACCAAAACAGAAGTAAAGAAACTCTACACAGAGGAACATTTACACCTCACTGCCAACTAGCGTTTCGGAAGTGTTAATGCAGCAGACCAACAGAGACAGCGCGCAGAAGTATAAATGCACAGCTGCGCGCGTTGCCTGCGCCATGAGTTACGCCGGTCACTTGACGCAGAAGTATAAACCAGGCTTTAGAGCTAAACCCTGCAGGGACACCGGCCCTCCAGGACCAGGATTGGTGACCCCTGCTATAAGTATTCACTGGAAACAAAGCTTCTAATTCTTGCAATGTTTTTGAGATGTTAGTATGCTGATTTAGTTACTGTTTTGACATGACTATTGAAACTCTGACTCCATTATCTAAATCAATTTTACACATATAAAAAATAATTATAACCTAAATAGATTGTTGAATGTTTTATGATATGCTGTAATAAATTTGAACGTGCATTGTTTTTCTTATTGTTTACAATGTATACATAGACATTACATGAAACATTAGGTCATGAAAATTGACTTGAAAGTCCTGGAAAAGTCCTGGAATTTTAGTAGTAAAAATGTGTATGAACCCTGTAATACGGTCATGTTGACGGAACACAAATCGGTTGTGTGAAACAGCTTTTCTTAGTGTGTTTTTGTTTCTCCTGTTTCCTCTAGGTTTATCCATCCAGCAGGAGCCGCCTCTCCATCCTTTTCTCACTTTCTTTCCCTGATTCTCTGTCTCTCTCTCTCCTGAACTCTGCTGATCCTGGTTCAGGAAAGCTTGTCGAATCCATCGAGTCCCCCTCTCAGATCCAGTCAGCCTCTCCTCTCCTGTTGTCCAGCCTGTTGGCATGGCGGGGCGAGGTGGACCAGCGCGGACCAACGGTGCCGCCCCCGTCGGGAACAAAATCTGCCAGTTTAAGCTTGTGTTGCTGGGAGAGTCTGCAGTAGGCAAGTCCAGCCTGGTGCTGCGCTTCGTCAAAGGCCAGTTTCACGAGTACCAGGAGAGCACCATTGGAGGTGAGCTGGAGTGTGTTCGTGAACTTGCCTAATTCAGTATTGCAGACTTTCCTCACACTTTTTAAAATATTTAAAATAAAATTTGCAGAACAAATATGCATACAGCAAATTAATTAGTCTTAATTTGACAGTTTTATTTTAGTTCTTATTTTTTTTAATTTAATTTTAGTTTTTAGTTTTATTCAATTTTTTTAGTTTATTTATTTATTTTTTATTTATATTTAAATTTTTCTTTAATTTATTTTTATCCAATGTATTTTATTTATTTAAAGTAATTTTTATTTAAATGAAATGAAATTAATTTAAATAAATAAAATAAATTGAATAAAACTAAAAACAAAAAACAAAATTATTTAAATTTAAATAAAATAAAGCTACAATAAAATAATTTAAATTTAGTTTTACAGGCTTCTTTGAATTGAACATTAAAGTTTTTATTGAAAATATTTTGCTACATTTCAAATATCTTTTAAGTAAGTGCATTCTAAATTGGGTTAGGGTTATGTCGCCTTTAAAGTATAACACACACAAGCTTGTTTTAAAACATGGTAAACTTGTGGTAGTGAGATTGTGTTGAACGCTCAAAATAGGCCAAATGCTCTGTATAGATGTGGTTGTGTGGGGAGAGGGCTGGGCTTTTTTAAAAGCAGACAAGCTGGTTCTTACTCTCTAATCACCTGACTAACACATGAGTTATACTGGAGAATAAAACGCACACACACGCGCTTCTGCATGTGCACACATCTGATCTCATAACAAAGCACGTGCGTTTGCTGTGCACACAGTTTCAAATGGTATTCTTCTTTATGGTTAAAAGGTAGATTTCTTGTTTTTCACTTTTTAAAAAGAATTTTAGACAGTATTTGGATGGTAATTGCTTTTCTTAGGGTAATGAAGGGGATTTTCACCATTTACAGGGGGTAGTTGGTGACTTTATTGCCGTCGAAAAATGTCAGTGTTTTTCATTACCATTTACCATTTTCGATATTGTGGGGAACAAATTTCGCAACATTGAAGTAAAAAGGGAAAAAATATAACTAAACCATATAATGCTTATCGGGCATTTATCTGCATTTATCTTTAAATGATATTTTTCAAGGTATTGTATCCAAGTTGGAAATTCCAGTATCGTCACAACACGACTTAATAGTCTCGTAACATCTGATTGAGCATGTGAATAATCGTGTGAGATGTGCAATTTTGGGTTTGTAGGGTTACAAACTTAGGCGTCCACAGTGATTTAACTCATGATTTCAGATGAAGATAATTTCACAGAGGAGCAATGGCGATTTTTTTTTTTTTTTTTTTTTTTTTTTGGTAACACTTTGATACTTACTCTCAGGGCCATTTATATCGAATTAGATTGTTAGCCACACCATGTTGGTGTTTCGTAACATCTAATTTTTCAGATGTCGTTAGCCTAACGCTCAACCCCCAACCTGGAGGACCAGGATACACACAACCACTACTAACAATTTAGCTTTAGCCCACCTATAGCGCATGTCTTTAGACTTAGAAACTAGAGCACCCGGAGTAAACTCGCATGATCACCTGAGGAACCCACTCGAACTGGATGAAGTTGAGTTAATAAAGCATTTATTAACATACAAAGTCACTATCATATATGCCTGAATAATAAGATATAATATATAAATGTTAATTTGAACAGTTTATTAATCATTTACTTACACATTAAAAGGGATCGCAAAACTATTCTTAAATAATTGGTTAATAAATAGTGTAATACTTAATTTAATAATGAAAGATTAATCATTAACAAGGTATGAAAATGCAATCATTAAACACATTATACATGTGCTTGTCAAGAGAATACAGCATTTGTAGATGTATCTATTAATGTAGAATAAATCCTTAACAAACAATGAATTAACTATTTGCTAGTGCTTATTAAATGATTCATAGTGTGTAGTTATAAAAAATAACAATAATATTAAGTTAATCTTAAAAAAAATTGTTTAAACTTCATTGACTAAGTTATGTAACATAAAACATTTGATTTATTGATTTATTGATTTATTTTTGTTATATAATTTTTTACAGTGCGAGCTAAAGAGTTCAGAGAGGAAGGAGTTTGGTCACCGTAAGGAAAAGGAAACCATCAACAATGGGATTTCCTGAGTGTGTGTGTGTGCTATTGTGTCCCTCAGTTTTTTTTTATGTTGTTAGTGTCCGTTCTTTTAAGTGAATTAGATTACGGGCATTCATATATTAGGGTTTAGTCATATAATTAGTAAGATATTCTAGGATAAAATCAGACATAAGGAGGGAAAAGTGCTGGGAATGAGATTTGATATGGGCCGGATACCGCTGTCTTGCAAAGGGCTGACAATAAGAGAAATCCTCAGCACTTTTTTTTCCCCCCCTTCTACATATTTTCCTTCAATGCCATCATCATCCTGTCGTCAGTGAGCTGGTCAAAGATCACAGTGTTTAGTGGTGTGAAGAAATGAATGCGAGCTGCAAACATGTGATCGTGCCGCCTGACTCAGCACAAAGTTTTAGGCCGAAGGGATTAGAACCTTATTTTGTGGATCTACTCACTTCCTGTATGTGCCATTTTGATGTGTTTGAGAAATCTACATTATATTATGAACAGTTTCAGTGTTTAAATGTTTCTGTGTGGTTTCTAAACTGTTAGTGGTTGTTAGCATGTTTTGTTGGGTGTTTGGAAGTGTATCATCTCATATCTAATGAGGATATATGTGTACAGTGCAGTTCCTTAAATTTTAGGTCAGCAATTTTAATTGAAATTACACTTTAACTATTTTCAATCTTAATATAATATAACATAACATAACATATAACATAACATAACATAACATAACATAACATAACATAACACAACATAACATAATATAATATAATATAATATAATATAATATAATATAATATAATATCTGTGTTTGCAAAGCTGATAGTGTTATTAACACCACCAGTGGCATTTAATAGGTGACGCATAGATGAATATGTAAATAAATTCCCTGTTTCTCTCATATCAGGTAAGCAAATAAAATGAGAAAAAAATAAATAGCATCTGATCTTAGAAATATTTATATACATGCGAGGCATAATTTTCATTCTTCAACACCATTAAATCTTTTTTTATGTCAGTATATTATAAAATGGAATTATACTCGCCATCATTACTTGTAACCTCAGTTTTAGTGCTACTTTTGATCTATTTGGTGCATTCTGTCTAATTAAAATAATTATTATAAAATATAGTATTTAAAATATTTTATAGGACATGGTCACCCACTGAAGCGAAGCAGGGCTGTGTCTGGTCAGTACCTAAATGGGGAGACCATGTGGGAAATCTATCTATATCTGCTGGAAGAGCTGCTAGTGAGGCCAGCAGGGTCTGTGTGGGCCTAATGCCCCAGTATAGTGAAGGGGACGCTAGGACGCTATACTGCTCAGTGAAAACCATTTTTTGGATGAGACGTTAAACCGAGGTCCTGACTCTCTGCGGTTATTAAAAATCCCAGGATGTCCTTCGAAAAGAGTACGGGTATAACCACAGTATCCTGGCCTCTGTCCATCATGGCCTGGTTTATACTTGACGCGTCCGCTAATTTGCTTGAGTGCGTGCGGGAAATGTGACTTCATCGATGTGTTTGCAGAGATTTGATTTGTTTATGCACAGTATAATTACGGCAAATTTTTTTTTTTATTTAAATTTTTTTTTTGAGACTCGAGCGAACAGTGCGTGCGGTGCTGCGCTTAATTTGAGTTGAATGTAAAACACTTTAAAATGATTTTGTATGAAACGGGTATGACAGTACAGACATCTTTGTAAACCGTCCATGCATGATAATAGGAATAACCAGATGACCAATCATTCTTGGCTAGAAACTGCAACAACAGTGGGAAAGGAGGAAAGTTTTTTTCTTTTTTTTTTTTAAAGTTTAGAAAAATTTGAAGGATAAGTTTGTTAAAGCAAAAACAAAATTCCATGGCAAAAATGGAGACCCGCGTGGTTTTAATAAACAATTGCAGAATATGTTTTTCCATCATTCATAGGTTTTACACTGATGTATATCTAACAATTTTGAACTTAATTATTGAATTTAATTATATATTACAATTTTTATTATTATTAATATGACTTAATTCTGGATACTTCCTACTTCTGTTTATCCATCCAATTTTATGGTTAGTTTCTTTTGACTGCCCCTTGAAATTTTAAAGAATATCACAATGGCGAACGCATCAAGTATAAAAGCCTTGTCCGTTTCGTGAGGTGTGTGCGCAGTTAGCAGAGGTCCACGGCGCCAGGTGAAAGCATAAATCAGGCTTAACAATCCTGATATCATAATTGGCTTCTTCATCACTCTGTGTCCTCTCTATCAAAAAGGTGGTGTGCAGTTTGGCGCCTGTTGCATCAACCAGGTGGATGAGGAGATTTCCTCCAACACATTATGAAGCACTTTTAGTGCCGAAAAGTTACTATTATTAACACTAGTGAATTAGCGGATGTAATGATGTTTGCTTTAGTGTTAATGCAAATGCAGACTTCTTTCATGAAACTGAATTTTCTGGAGTTGAAACATACTAATGAAAACGCAGTGCTTCTAGTGATTAGAGTTTTGAGGTGTAAAAGGTATCTGAGGCATTTTGAGCTTTCGACCACTTCTACAGGGAGTAGAAAACACATGATTAAACCCTCCTGTGCACAAATCCAAAAAAGACCACCTGCTTTCCACCTACCGATCCAATTCTGAAACATTATACAGTTTGCAGTAGCACACTAGCCATATGGGATTTAACCTTTACTGTCTGATATTGCATTTTGATTTGCAGGTAAAAAAAAAAGTTTTCTTACCAGCCCTAAAATATATTTTTGCAGCTGTCATGTAATGTAACATGCAGATGTGGCAATAAACAAACAAACAAAAATCCAAGGAATCAGGAAAGTGAACAAAAAAACAAAAAGACAGCTAAAAAGTATTAAAGTTATTCAAATGCGATCAGATCACTCAGAAAGCATCCTGTTTCAGGTGTAAACATTCTATTTGTTAAATTCTGCTCTACTAAACTGGAGTATGCAAAATATACTGTGCAAAATTTTAAGCGGAAAAACTGCCATTGCCTTCCATTAGTATTTTTTGTTTCTATTATGAATGTCAACTGCTGTTTCATTTCCTTCAGCATTCTTAAGAATATCTTGTTTTGTGTTCGCAGAAGACAGACATTTACAGGCGTTTACACCACTTGAAAGTTGATAAATAAGGAAATGCACTCTCTCTTTAAATAGCTCCGCAATAAGGAAGCGCTAACAGTAACATTTTGGATCGTATAAACTGATTGACATCATGTCCTAAATATTTCTGTTTCTTTTTTCAGCTGCTTTCCTCACACAGACACTCTGCTTGGACGATACGACAGTAAAGTTTGAGATCTGGGACACGGCCGGACAGGAGCGGTATCACAGTTTGGCCCCTATGTATTACAGAGGAGCCCAGGCAGCCATCGTCGTCTACGACATTACTAACACAGTACGTGGTCGCATAATTTAGAAAATCAAAACTTGTAAATCAGAGTTTGATCATATGTGTGTTTGTCTTGGTTATTAGGATGTCTGTGGGGTCTTAAATTCACTCAGATATTGTGTCAATCATTTTAAACAGGTTTTAATTTTTCTATGCCCAAGTAAAGCTACGTAATCAGGCTGACAGCCATCACCAATAATCCATCTCAAAACTTTTTTTTTTATATTTTAAGATTAATTTTTTTATATATATTTTAAAAGTATTTTTTGTATTTTATATATAATTTTTATACATTTTGAAACTATATTTTATTAGGGATGCACCGATCCCGATACTTAGATTGGATATCGGTTCGATACTGTATATTTTTGCCGGGTCGGGTATCGGCCAGCTGGCACCGATCCAAATCCGATCTTGCGTGTGCGCTATATTCTGTGTAATTTATAAGCCAACAAAAGCCACGAAGGTAGCCTGTTATAGGGCACTAGAAAGTTGTCATGTAGGCCTAATATATATTAAACTATCTGAAGCCATTCTATAGCTTAATGTGAAGCACAGATGAATATTCAAGTGCTTAAATTCATGTTTAATTCAGCTCTTCCTGCCGCTGCGCCTGTCAATCATTCTCCATTCATTCACAATGCAAACTGCGTGTCTCGTTTATGACAACACGAAAAATGTTCTCCAAGACTATTTGTTCCTGTTAATATAAGTAATCAGTGGAGAAATGCATTTAGTCTTGCATTAAATGGCTTCATTTTGACCTGCAACATGGAGTTCATTGCTGTTTCTAAATCATGTTGTGCTGTGTCTGTTAGCTCAGCAGATCACAATCGCAACACTGGAGTATAGAGGGTTATTAGCTGCTCTTCACACACAAAGTAGGCCTACCTGAAACTTTAAATTAGAAAAGGCTTAATAATACATTGGACAGATCCTCAAAGCACTGATTTCTCCCCTTTGTGCTGCTGTTTTGGAAGTGTTCACAAATACAGGAGGGCTGCACGCTGTGTCTCAGTGATGCATTAAGCGCTTCATTCATGCACCGGCTGCGCAGATGCGACATGCGTTGCTTTGTAAAATTATTCTTACAATAAGTTTCTGTTCTCTCATCCTTCCAACTAAATTTATTCTTCTGAGGGGAATACTTTAAGTGCTGCAAATAGTTTGTAAAGCCTGGCTCATTGTGGTCAGAGTAGCTGATTATATTAAGAAAAGTGAAACTGACGAGCGCAATATGGATTGTCATTAACAGGAATATAGGCTACTCTGAAACTGTGAAAATTTTACTGTAATTTTATTGATATTAATATATTATTTTATATTAATATATTAATATAATACATTATAAATATATTTATTTAACAGACCTCTTTGTTAGTTTGTGCGATGAAGCATATAAGCGGACCTTGTTTTATATAAGCATATATAAATCCTATATAAGCGGACCTCAGATAATCTTGTTTATTTTTTAGATAACTGACCAACAAAATATACATTAAAATAACCAACAACTTAGTTTCAAAAAGAAAATTTTTCAGACATGCTTTCAGTTTCACCGTCTCACTCTCGGGTAGTTTAGGGGAGGGAATGTTTATTAAGGAAAACTGGCCTCAGACAGATAAGTTTAGTCTGCATCAAACCTGCAAAAAAAAATAAGGCTTTGCTAAAAGGCTGGTTATTTTACCAACGATTAGTGTCATTAGTGGTAGTCTATTACAGATTTCAAAGGAAAATCTGAAAATTAAAAAAAGGAACATAAGCTGGACCACAACAGATCAATGTCATAAGGAATGCTCAAAAAATGTAGCCTAGTTTACACCAAGCATCATAATTTTCATAGGTCTGTTATTTTTTGCTAAAGAAGATATATTATTTCAGTTTATGAGAATTATAAAAACTGTATTATGTAAAAAAAATATATATATATATATATATATATATATATATATATATATATAATATATATATATTAAGGGTGAAGCCGAACCCGAATACGGTTTTCGGAAAGGCACGAATAGCGTGTTTTTACGAATACTTATTTCGAACAAATACTTGAAAAATTATTTGTATTCGGGAGCAAGAAAAGCATTATATCAAAAAGCAGCGTTTCCTCCTGAGACCACAGTGCGTGAGTGAGAGAGAGAGAGACGCTCAGTCGGAGGGCGGGGCAGAGGTAAAAGGTCTCTCTCTGGCACAAGCTTCTCCACAGCAGCAGACTGAGAAGGCTCGGCTGAGCGAAAAAAATACTTCTCTGCATCACTATTTTTGTTAAATAGATTTTTGTACCTTAATTGGGTTCCAGATGCAGTTTATAAACTTGTAGCAGAGTTTGTTCGGGATTTTCCATTACGCTGCATTTTTGAAGTTTGCAATCGGGTGCTCTGTTTACGCAACGTTAGCTCTGTAAGCGCGGTAATTTAGACAATAGACTGTTGACAGAGTAACGTTAACATTCGTTTATAAAGGTTAAAACTATGCTTTTGCAGTTGTGTCGAATAGTATGCACTTATGGGAGTTATATGGTACGTCTAAATAACTCTTTTGCAGACAGCAAGATATATGCTATAGGCTAGTTAACCTTAGCATAGCTTCCCGTCACTTTTTATTAACTTGAAACCTCAAATACATTTGGGCACCATGAAAAAGAGTGAGACTGCTGCTGAGCCATTTCTTAGTCCTCCACCAGTAAAAAAAAAATAAAACTTCATGTTCTTTGTGGAAGCATCTTACAGTCAGTGGTGCTGCAGATAAAACTAACTGATACTGTATAATGTGTGCAAAAGTGAAATCAGCAGAGGCAGAGATATTAAACATCTGTCAACATCTTCTATGCATAATCATTCATTTTCTTTTCGGCTTAGTCCCTTTATCAATCTGGGGTTGCCACGGTGGAATGAACCACCAATTTATCCAGCATATGTTTTACGCAGTGGCTGCCCTTCCAGCTGCTACCCAGCACTGGGAAACATCCATACACTCTCTTTCACACACATACAATAGGGACAATTTAGCTTACCCAATTCACCTGTATTGCATTTGTTTGGACTGTGGGGGAAACCGGAGCACCCGGAGGAAACCCACGCCAACATGGGGAGAACCCAGTCGAGGCTCGAACCAGCAACCTTCTTGCTGTGAGGCGACAGTGCTACTCACTGTGCCACCGCGCAACCTTCTATGTAATGTATTATCACATGCACTAAAAGCATCCTCTCCTGATACTGTCCATGAACCCCCCAAAAGCATCAATCCCCTCAATCAGCACAGCTATGTACTGCTAAATCCTCCACAAGCACCAAACCATCAACACAGCCACATTCTGCCCCAGCAAGTCAGTTTCAAACATAAAAAAGAAAAAAAAAACAACTTTGTGTCTGTTTTGTGGCAGGCAGATGATAATAGCAGGGCTGTATCTTTTAGTATTATATAGAATACTTTTGTTCTGCCAGATCTCCCAGGCAGGGTTTTATTTAGATTTATTTAGCTTTTTATTATTATTATTATTATTATTTTTTTTTTTTTAAAAGCACAGTATTGGCATCGAATCTGTATTGGTCCATACTCAGAATTTTGGTATTGGATCGATTCCAAAAAATGATATCAGCGCATCCCTATATTTTATTTGTTTTTATATTTTATATGTAATTTGTAAAAAAATATTTTTTACATTGTATTATATATATATATATATATATATATATATATATAATTTATTTTATTTATTTATTTATTTTTGCAGCGAGAGAGAGAGAGAGATATTAGACATTTTATCAGCAAATTATACACTGTTAGATATTTTTATAGCAAATTCTCTTAATTGATGAGGTAAAGAAAACTTAAGCATCACATCCCTATTCAAGATCTTTCTTTAATAAAATCTTTAGTGTGTTTAGCTTCTTATAAGTCTAAAATTTCACTCATAATGACCTAAAAGGGTCCTAAACCTGCAGAACCCCTGGTTATATGAGATCTCAGTTGCAATGTGACTTTGGCTGACATCACCGTTTTAAGCAGGAAAGGTCTGAATACTAAGGCTTCACCTGACTGACTTCTGGGGTTAATTATTATTCTGCAGGACACAATCAGACCTTTGCTCAAAGTCAAGGGTGGCTGCGCAGTTGCTGGTAGCAAACTTTAAGGGATAGTTCACAAATTAAATGATAATGACAAGAAAACTCAAGAATTGTTTCAGCTTATTTTAAATAAGTCGTTTGAGCAAACAGCAAATATCATTTTTTGTGTAAATAAACAGCAATTTAGATTTAAAAAATGACGTTTGCTGTTTGTTTAATGTACTTAAAATAAGCTGGAATAACACAATTCTTGTGGTTTTTGAGGGGACAATTTAATAGTTTTAAGTTCAATTCAGTTGAATTTGTGAACACTAATAAGATAGCTTAATTACTTCATGTTGTCCCAACACAAATCGATTTTAGGGAAGCCAGCATTTTTATAGTCTACTTGGGGACTGTAATGCATGTCAATGGCGATCATTCCTTTGAAAGTTAAAAATGTAATACACAAGTAAAATTCAATGTATTGCCTGGAGCCACAGGAATAAAACAAAGTTTTCTAAAGCAAAACAGTCAGTCTGTTTATGAACATTAACATAATTTACATTAGTGGTGTAACGGATCTCAAATCTCACGGTTCGGATCACACTACAGTTTTTGAGTCACAGATTGGACAATTTTTCAGCAAAAAAGGGAGGGGACTAATACATTTGCTTTCCATTTATACAAATATATTACTGCAAAACCCATTGGTTTTAACAAAAATAATATAGAACCTGTAAATCTATTAAAAATTTAATAAAAAAAGAACCAGCTAAAAAAAAAAGGAAAATATTGAACTCAAAAAAATTATCTTTGCTACTGTTGCTGGTAATGCTAAATATAGCAATCTAACATCTTGCACAACTTATACTGTTTATTTCCAATTGATGAGTCAACAGTTCACACTTTCATTATAAGTGGATCACCTTTGAAAACCTATTCAGTGACATAATCTTAATGGTTGTTTGTCGCCACCTATTGGTTAAACACTGTAATTACTACAACATTCACAACGTCAAGTTCCATTAAACGGTGGTTTTAATCTTTACCATAAACATCAGTGTTTATATCTGAACTATAAACTGTTCTCTCAGAACTTCTGTGTTATTTAATGGTTTGTAACTAACTGAAAGTGTAAAAACTGAACCGCTTATAATCAAAGGCAGATTTAAAAGCAGCGCTTTGAAGGATTAATATGCAAATCATTATTATCATTTATCATTCATGTTGCGCGGGTTTGAAGTGAGATCACGATCTTTTAATGTTTCATTGTGCAGCTTTACACTGAATGTATTAATGCAGGCTAAACAAACAGTGACAGAAAACACCTTTAATTAATATCCTAAAAAAGAGTTTAGGTCCCACCACAACTTTTTCTGTCGTCATTATATTTTACAGGGAAGCCAAAATGCTTTCATACACGTGATTTAAAAGACTCAGGAGGCGATCTCTTTCTCTGCAATTGTTATAAATGTTGGATTAACCTACAAGTTCAAAAAAGATGTTAATCCGCAGATCACTTTTGTTTCGAACTGTGGGTCAACAACTGTGATCCGTTACACCCCTAATTTACATACATTAGCTTAAATGGGTAGTTTAATAATGTAGAAACATATGACTTTTGTTGTTTTAAAAATTCCTAAATCTTTTTATGACAGTTTTTCACATGGTGTCCAAAGATCCTTAAAGTCTTAAATTCCATAGTATGAAAGCAGTAGTATATAGTATAAAAATAAATTAAAATGCAATTATTTAAAATGTCTGAAATCTGTGTTTTAAATGTCTCAAAAATGCAATCGAACCGATCCCGTGAAGAAAATTTTGTTTCCTTTTTGATATGTACCGAAAATCTCTATTTGAAAAGTCTATTTGTCACCTAGAATAAAATAGGCTGACCCCAATAAAATACATGTCCTGGGGATTTCACTTATGAAGTGGTCAGAGTAGCTTGTTATGACTGTTGAGAACTGTTATGCTTTTTTAATATGTATGTTTTAAATATTAAAATAAGGGCTGCATGGTGGCACAGTGGGTAGCACAATCGCCTCACAGCAAGAAGGTCACTGGTTCAGGCCTTGGCCGGGTCAGTTGGCCATTCTCTGTGGAGTTTGCATGTTTTCCCTGTGTCTGCGTGGGTTTCCTCCGGGTGCTCCGGTTTCCCCCACAGTCCAAAGACGAGGTGTATAGGTGAATTGGGTGGGCTAAATTGTCTGTAGTGTATGTGTGTGAATGAGTTTCCCAGTGATGGATTGCAGCTGGAAGGGCATCTGCTGTGGAAAACATATGCTGAATAATTTGGCGGTTCAATCCGCTGTGGCGACCCCAGATAAATAAAGGAATTAAGCCAAAAAGAAAATGAATGAATGAATAAAATTAAATGAAAATAAATTACTTTATTTTCATGATTATTTGATTGAATAGAAAGTTTGAAGGAAATCATTTCTTTAACTAGAAATTTATTGTATAATTACAGTGTATATAATAATATATTTCGAAATTCTTAACTTTTTATTCATTATCTTTTCCCCTCTCTTTCAGGACACATTTACTAGAGCAAAGAACTGGGTGAAGGAGCTGCAGCGCCAGGCCAGTCCAAATATCGTTATTGCTCTGGCAGGCAACAAAGCAGATCTGGCCAACAAGAGAGCCGTTGACTTTCAGGTAAACTTTTAAAACCAAACCGACCTGTATGGCTTCTAAAATTATTATTATTATTATTATTATTATTATTATATGGTTTCCAAAAATTTTTAAAGTCTTAAAACATCGTAAATTTTAACTTACTTACTTATTAGGCCTTAAAAGTTCTACATTTACTGAAAAAAATGTCTCATAGGACTTAAATCCTTTTAAACAAGTCTTAATTTGTATTTGTTCATGTCTCCAATTACCAACAATCCATCTGTAAAATTAACCCAAACTCTATTTACCAATATGTTTATTTTTTTCAATGTCAAAAAATGTTAAAAAAAGTGCATGCATACAACTAGGCTTTGCTTGTTTTAACACATTATTTAAAATATGTGGCAAAGAAATAACTAATTACCGAAAAACCAAAAACCTCTTATCTGCATTATCAACTGGCCTATTAGAAAAATATCTTAGTGTTTAGTTCTGTATAAGTCTGAAATTGCATTCATAAAGGTCTAAAAGGGCTTAAATTTGACTTTGTGAAGCCTGCAGAAACCCTGTATTATTTTAAACACATGCTCATGTTCCCTTATAGGAGGCCCAGGCATACGCAGATGACAACAGCCTACTCTTCATGGAGACGTCTGCAAAGACCGCCATGAACGTCAATGAGATCTTCATGGCTATCGGTACGATTACTTCTCTTTTACTGACTCTCTTTAACAAAAACAAACCAAAAAAACTTTTTAAACAGCAACTTGACACTAGTTTCACTCACAGCAAAAACAATAAACCACACCTAATCACTCAAATATTGCTCAGGGCTCAACGGTTTGAAGGTTTCACTTTTGTTTATAGATAAATGTATTTTGAAGTGTGTGTGATAAAAGAAAATGGGTAAGTACAAGCCTTCAAAAGACTTATTATTCAGAATGCGTATGTGAATGATTAATAAACTAATCAAATCAACATACACTAACTCATTCTGAATGATCTTAAAAATCCCCAACTACTCCTAAATACAAATGATTTGTAAATAATGTGATACTTAATTTAGTCATGAAAAAATAATCATTAAAAAAGTATAAAAGTACAATTATTAAAAAAATGTTTCTTTTTTTGTTGCCCAGAATATATTTTAGAACTGTAATCACAAAACCATGATATTTTTATCCAAGGTAATCATGCTATTTTTATCCTAGGTAATCATACTGTCAAAATATTGCCCATGCCTATTCAAAATGCATGTAGAAAAGCTATAAAAAAGAACTACAGAATATTCCTTTACGTCCTTTCATTTGCCTATATATAATAATGTAATACTATTAGGGATGTAACAATATTGTAAATACCGTCATACCGCAATAGTAATTTTTTTCAATATTACCGTAGGCGCATGACTTAATAAAACTATATTTCTGAGAAAAGTTTGCTTAGGGAATGAAGTGAACGGGAGGTAGCGGGAACTACAATTCCTATCAGCCTAGGTGTGGCCATCATCCTTTGCAGTTTGTTGTTAGTACAGATCCAGTAATGCGGAAATGGAGTGTGTTGCTAGTAGAGGGGAAGAAAAAGAACTGGAAATGATCGAACCTAAAGCGGGTTTTAAATCGGATGTGTGGAAGCATTTCGGTTTCTTTCTAAAAAGATACGAAAAACGAGAAAAGGTGGCAGACAAAGAAAAAAAACGGGGAATACGACTAAAAACAGTCATGGGGACTGAAGAACACAGCACACTTGTTAGATAGATGCAGACATTAGCCCCTTTCACACATACAGACCTTTCAGGTTGTATGTGTGAACAGGTCCTTTTTGAAAATACCGGTAAATTCGTTTTGGCTATTTTCCGGAAAGAGAAGTTGTAACATTACCGGCAATTTGCCGGAATGCTGCGCTGTGTGAATGCAGAAGGAAGATTGCCGTAATAAGCGCGTGCACGTCTAGAACGTGCTGACGTGAAACGTCTGCTTTAGCCAATCACAACAGTCTGACGCATTTACATCCGCGCGGTTTGTGAGAATAAAAGTCTTTGAATATTTTTCCAGACACATTTAGCTGCTAGAAGTTAATCAGATCACGTTTATATGTTCTTCTTAATGCCAACTGTGTAAATAATCATCGATGAGATGCTTATGATAAGCCGTTGTTTGTTTACCTTCAAGCTTTGCGTGTGCCTGCGAAACAGCCTGTGAGCGCCTGCACACGCACATATTATGAACATCTCGACATGCGAAAGTGATCCTGCGAAAGTTGTTCACAATATTGATCATCCACAGAGTTTGTAATTTAGTCAAATGTTTACAAATACAAGCGCAGCCGTTTAAAGCTCATTTGTGGTGAATGATGTCAGAATTTACCGGTATTTTGGAATTGATGTGTGAATGCTCTTTTCCGGAAAAATTCTGTAACATGCTCGCCTGTGTGAACAGCGCTTTTTTGAATATACCGCTTAAGTCGTTCCGGAAATTTTCCAGATATTTACCAGTATCACTGTGTGAAAGGGGCTATTGACTTGTACCGCAAAGAGACCTCTATCTCACTCATGGCTTGTCCTCTCAAGTGTTGGAAAGACAATGCACAGCGTTACCCACTGCGGTCAACCTTGGCTAAATCATATCTCTCTGTCCCAGAAACCTCAGTCCCAAGTGAGAGGGTTTTTTTCTGTTGCAGGGGACATTGTAAATGCCCTGAGATCGCAGCTTTTGCCAGATTATATTTATATGATAATTTTCCTTAAAAAAAACCCATCTCTGAGTGAGTGATTAAATGTTTAATATGATGAGTTTTCAACAATACTAAATTGAAACGGTTTTTTTTCTACATAGCTTTATAGTTTTTTGTTATTAACATTGAAAAATTGAAGTTCCTGTTTCAAAACTTACAGATAGATGGCTAATTTGTATGTCATTGATATATTCAGTGCTAAGGTAAATAAGTACTTTTGACACTTTTTTCGAGTTTTGTTCATTAGTTTTGTTTTCCTGTAAATTACTCAATAAATACCGTACCGTGCCATTCATACCGAGGTATTACCGTATCGTGAAATTCTAATACCGTTACATCCCTAAATACTATATGTAATAATTATAATATATAATAATGAGTTTATTAGAATATATGACCAAAACACCCATCTTCTATGTTGGTTAACTCTTTTAGCCAAGAAGCTTCCGAAAAGCGAGCCGCAGGGTGGAGCGGGCAGCGGGGGACGGGCCCGAGGAGGGGTGGACTTACAGGAGACGGCGCCTCAGGGAAGAAGCGGCCAGTGCTGTGGAGGCGGAAACTAACCAGTGGACCAATCAGCTGGCAGATGCACCCGAGGACTGATTCAGACACACACAAAAAAAAACACACACACACACACAGTATGAATCCATAGTGTGAGACCCATTCACTTACGACCCAGCTCTTAAAAAAAAATATGGCCAGCGAGACTGTACTATACAGCCTCAGAACTGGAAACGGGCCACCCTTGTAAATCAACATTAATGTTGCCCTCCCAAACAAATACACACACGCGCGCGCATACACATTGAAACTACAACATGTGTGTCTCTGCCATCTATGGTGAGTTATTTGATTCGTCCTATGTAGAAATGAAACGGACACGTGATCTGATCTAATCGCACTTAAAAAACAAACCAAACGACAACAAAAGAGAAGAAATTCCAGACTGCTGCTGGTGGAAAAGCAAGTTGTCTCTCTCTCCCTTGTATTTTTCTCATGTGTATGACAAATTTATTTAACTCGCACTCCCTTTTGGTGGATGCATACTGCCAGTATTGAGTTGCATCTTTCTTCTCCTCGTTCACATCTCTGCTATTTGTCAGAGATGAAGAGAAAAGGTCGAAGAATGAGAAAGCAGGCCATTTTTTTTTTTCTTTCTCCCATCTCCACCAGGCCGTTCTGTAGATTCTGTATTATTTCTATTGTATTAGTCTCTCAGACGTTCCACTACTCCAGCACAGATGAGATCCAGTATATGATTTGATAGGCTTAGATGACTTCTTTTTCTAATCATTTTACATATATCTTGTATATCGAAATGCATTAACAGGTGGCATAACTCCATTGTGTTGTTGTTTCCTTCTTTCCTTTACATTAATGAAATACTTTTTTGAAATCAGACTCAGAGAAAATGAATACAAATTCCTCTGACCAAAATCACAAATATTTACGAGGGGGGGGAAGATATGTTTTCTGTACTTGTATTTTGTTTTTTTCTGTGAATAACGATCCCAAATCAATAGTCGGTTCAGCACCTTCGTAAGAATTGACTTGTTTTTGTACCTTGAGGTCTCTTTGAGTGCACTGGGTATTTCTTTGTCCTCTGACAACACATGTCATTTACCGTCAGTATGGCTCCCTCCTGTTGTTCATGGAAGGACATCTTATCTCGACTGGTGTTTTTTTTCCCAGCATCGCTTGTGAACTAGCATAACTAATGTGAACGGTGACACTCGGACGTCTCCAGCAGGCGCTGAGGAACGAGGGAAGCAATGGACAAACAAATAAACGGAAAAAAACCCACAAACCTAATAGAGCTTGTAATTTTACCAATAAAGGAGGGGAAGGTCTACTTTCTGACTGTTGTGTTATTTATGAACTCATTTTCTTTTCAGCTTAGTTTCTTTATTAATCCGGGGTCACCACAGCGGGATGAACCACCAATTTATCTACCATATGTTTTACGCAGCGAATGCCCTTCCAGCTGCAAGCCATCACTGGGAAACATTTACACACATACACTATGGATGATTTAGCCTCCCCAGTTCACCTATACCACATGTCTTTGGACTTGGTGGGGAAACCGGAGCACATGTTAACTCGCACAAACATGGGGAGAAGATGCAAACTTCACACAGAAATGCTAACTGATCCAGCCGAGGCTCAAACCAGTGACCTTATTGCTGTAAGTGCTACCCACTATGCCACCAGGACACCTCTTATATATTAATATCCGTGCTAATTCAGAGGTATTTTCCCTTTCCTGCTATGAATATAGTGAGTCCAGGAGAATATTTGCAGTTTTAAACTTTAATGCACTTCTTAAATGTTGGTGAAAGAGTCGGTGCTTTTGTTTATAGTCTTTTTTTTGGCACTAAATGTTATTCATAGTCAGTCATGATTAAGTTATCATGCAAGTAGAAGTTTCTATGATTTTATGAATATAGATGGTGTAATTTTTTATGCAATTTTTACATCAGCATGTTGTTATTATGTAATGTGACAAACGTATTGTTGTCTGATGAGTCCACCTTCACTGTCATTCCCACACCCGGGAGAGTTTCGGTGTGGAGAAGCCCCAAAACAAGCATCCCACCCAGACTGTTGCATGCCCAGAGTGAAGCATAGGGGGTGGATCATAGATGGTTTGGGCTTCAATATCAAGGCATTCCCCAGGTCTAATACTTGTGCTTGATGGGTGCATCACTGCCAAGGTCAACCGAACTATTTTGGAGGATCATGTCCACCCAGTTATTTGAACGTTGTATCCTGAAGGTGGTGTATCAGGATGATAATGCACCAATACACACTGCAGGACTGGTGACAAAGTTAAACATCTCCCATGGCCTGCACAGTCACCCATCCTAAATATTACTGAGCCACTTTGGGGTTGTTTTGGAGGAGTGAGTCAGTTGTATGTCATTTCCAAAATGAATTGATGTTGTATTTGTTGCAAAAGGAGGCCCTACACCATACTAATGAATTATCAGTTTCATTGTCCAACCCTTCACACATGCACACACATTTTACTCAAACATAATTTTATTATTATTATTATTATTAGACATTAAAATGGTGCCGTTGAAACATCAAAACACATTCTGCTAATTAACATAAATGCACTGATATAAATATATGTTTTATGAATACATGTATAAGTGATTTGGTACAACAATAACCAGCGTTAAACCAGCGTTTTTGGCCATTTCCAGCCTGGTCTTAGCTGGTCAGGCTGGAAAATGACCCGCTGAAACCAGCTAAACCCAGCCTTAAGTATAAGTTTAAGTTGGACAGAGTTGGCTTTGGGCTCCCACCCAGGTTTAGCTGGTTTTAGCTGGTCATTCCCAGCCTGACCAGCTATGACCAGGCTGGAAATGGCCGAAACCCCTCCATAACCAGCCTGGCCAACCAGGTAAAACCAGCCTAGACTGGTTTAAGCAGTTTTTTCCAGCAGGGAAGTGTTTAATGGGATAGTTCACACAAAAAAAATGAACCTTTACCTTTCAAATGTTTCCAAACATTTAGAAGTTTGATAAAACAGGATATTGTGAAGAAAGACGAAAAACCTGCATTGACTAACAATTGAGGGTGTCGGCGAACTGTCTCTTTAATGCCCCCCAGTGGAAAGTTGTAGCGTTTAATTACGAACTACTGCATACTACATTTCCCAGCATCCCCTCATTGTCGAAAACCATCACAAAACTTTATTCAAGCCGCCCGGTTTGGAAACGAGCACGGAGATCCGTAGGGGGGAAGTGAGTGAGCACGGAGATCCGTAGGGGAAGTGTGGCTGCTGTTATGGCGGACCCGGCGGCACAGAGCTCCGCGCAGCCCCGGCTTCAGCAAGCGCAGTCCAGCGGCCCGACCGGCTCCAACTCGAACCCCGGAGCCGGGAGCAGCGACCCGGCCCGACCGGGCCTAAGCCAACAGCAATGGTCCAGCCAGAAGAAAGCCCAAGTCCGTTCGTTTCCGCGGGCGAAAAAGCTGGAGAAACTCGGAGTGTTTTCATCCTGCAAGGTAACCGAGAGCTCGCCTCATAACAATGGAGAGACAGAGAGAGAAACCGGGCCTGACATGTGTCACATCTTCATCCACACTCACGATTTTTTTTTTACCTCTTACTAATGCTGTTTATGTAAGAATAATACTCATAAACTTAAACATGACATACCGCAGGGTAAACATGAGGCACTGCAGGTTTAATTGGGAAAACAATTTACTAACATTTTTCACCATACATCCACATTTATTGCTATTTTTTAGTTTTACTTAAAGCTTTTCTTTAATGTTGTGTTTAAATGTGCAAATTAGACAATATATAATTAAGCAGACATTCATTTGCATGCATTTCTAGCTCGAAAATCTAAAAATTGCGTTAAAGAGATTAAAATTTACTCACTATTTACTATTGAGGTAAAGTTGGTTTTAAATTATCGGTACATTCGTTTAATGACATGCTCCCTGTATTGTTTACCATGGTACTTTAAATGTTTGGTCTGAAAACACATTTTTTCTTTTTCCACTCCACCATGACTTTAAATTCTATACTGTACATTATTTCTGTTAAATGACAAGACTTTTGTCTAAGCAAAGTCAGACCTTACTGTCCTAATGAAATACAAATACAACAAGGCATGATCATAGTTTATTTAGGAAAATAACTAATCTACAGACCTTTGCCTTTCATATAAGCCACTTTTGATACAAAATGATCAACTAGAAGTCAGGTTATTATTTGCTGTTCCTAAACTTGGATAGATGACAAGACTTTTGTCAGGTAGTGTATTTTATCCTTTTATCACCACTGCATAAACTTGCCACTCTGAATGTTTTGATTGTGTTATTCTGATGTTTAGCGTCTGATTCCTCTGCACTCTTCTTATCTCAGGCGAATGATGCTTGCAAGTGCAATGGCTGGAAAAACCCCAATCCACCAACAGCGGCTCGTATGGAGCTCCAGCAGCAGGCCGCCAGTCTGACGGAGACCTGCCGAAGCTGTGGACACTCTTTGGGTAGGAAGAATCAGACCTGGGGCCTCTACCGTGAAGCTGGATTAGCTGACTAGCCAGTTAAATGTTGGTTTAGTTTGCACCAATCTTGGGTTTTTAGTAATATGAAGGCAGCTCAACATTAATCACTAGTGTTTGCCATGGTATTAAAGGGCAGCAAAGCTAAGATGAGCTACCTTTATGGTATCTAAATTCAGAATTTGTTACAAACTAAACTGAAAGTCAACTGGTTAGCCAGCTAATCTAAGGGTGTACTCACACTATGTACAGTTGCCTTGAACATGTGCCGAAGTACGCTTGTCCCCTTCCCTCTCCCCCAATGGCCTGCACATACATTGTATCCGAGCCGGAGATGCTTACGTCATCGATGATGCGACTGTTCAGTTTAACAGAAGAGAAACGCTCTCGCTCAGCACAGTAGAGATTCCTTTATATCGTTATATAATTTTAGTCGTTTGAGATGCAGTGACACACAGTCAAATAATTCGCCGAACAGATCAGCCACTTTTGACGCTCATAAACAGTCATAAATTCCTTGTGCTGCAGGTATTAGGAGGTTTGCTGAAGGTGCAGCTGATGTGCAGTGAGGGGTTTAAGTCTTTTTATAAACTACGACAGTTTGCATTCATTGAACCGTAAGAATGTTTATTAAACACATATGAAACAATTCCATAAAAGTCACGTCATGTCTTCAGTTTCGGGCTCAGGTGTACTTGCACTCACACTACAAGTGTACTGCACCTAAGCCCAAGAGAAGCACTTTGGCACACCTCTTCCAAACGGGCCAGGGCTGGCCAACTGAACCGCACCTGAGCCCGATTCAGAACACGCAGACATCTAAAAACGAACCGGGAAATGGGCCTGGACACGGTTCAGATAGCAGTGTGAGTACGCCTGAAGCCAAATTACATGATACAGGTCCATGAAGCTTTGTTTGCTATCAAGAAGAAGACTGGTGATAAGTTTTAGCAGGGATTAGGGCTGCACAAAATTAGAAAAATCCAACATTGCAATATATATATTTTTTTCCTGTGATATATGTACAGTTGAAGTCAGAATTATTAGCCCCCTTTTGATTTGATTAGATTTTGTTTTATATTTCCCAAATGATGTTTAACAGCAAGGAAATTTTCACAGTATGTCTGATAATATTTTTACGTCTGGAGAAAATCTTATTTGTTTTATTTCGGCTAGATTAAAAGCAGTTACTAATTAAAAAAAAAAAAAAAAACATTTTTGGGACAAAATTATTAGCCCCTTTAAGCAATTTTTTTTTCAATAATCTACAGAACAAACCATTGTTATACAATAACTTGCCTAATTACCCTAACCTGCTTAGTTAACCTTATTAACCTAGTTAAGCCTTTAAATGTCACTTTAAGCTGTATAGAAATGTCTTGAAAAATTTCAAGTAAAATATTATTTACTGTCATCATGTCAAAGATAAAATAAATACGTTATTAGAAATAAGTTTTTAAAACTATTATGCTTAGAAATGTGAAATCTATTAAACAGAAATTAGCGAAAAAAATAAACAGGGGCGCTATTAATTCAGGGGGGCTAATAATTTTGACTTCAATTGTATGTATTGCGATTATATTTTATCTATTCAGTTTTACCAAATGACTTGACGAATGAATTTGTGGTTCAATTCTCACTATTAACAAACCTTTAACTATGACATTTATGACTATGATGTCTGGATGAACAGCCTCAAAGCCAAGACGAACAAAATCTGCCATGTCTTGTTGTTTACGAGGCTGTCTAAAAGCGCGAGTGGTCTTACTTTCTCCAGAGAG